CAGCCCCGTATCTCATATTCCCTGAGATGAAGGATTCTTTGGGTTTCATGTGGATGGGAGGTCCAGATCTGCTGTCCATTTATTTGGAGATATGGCCTGGTGTGTAGGGATGAGTAAGCTTCTTCGTGAGCATTTCATCACACCCTGCAGGGTGGGGTGAGGGGTGCCCTGTGCATGGCTGGAGGGAGTGCGTGGCTCGATGCTCCCTCCTGGCCATGGTGGGAGGCCCAGGTCCTGCCCCAGGCTTCTTCCCCTGAGTCCTGGGGTCTCAGTTGTCTGTGTTGACTCTTTCTTGCTACACAGAGAGAGATAACAAGGACGAACCTTATTTTGTAAAGAATGAAAATATTCTGACTTTCCTCCCTCACGAGGTGGGATCCGTGTCCCTTTCCTGATACCAGGACTGGGTGGAGAAGGCTCCTGATTTGCTGGATGAGTTCTTGGAGGCCCCATGTAAGAAGTCTGATTCCCCTGAGACCGCCATGCTGAGAAGCCATGCAAAGGTGCTCCCGTCGACAGTGCTCCCTGTGCCCAGCCCTCCCCAGGCTCCACCGCCCCACCAAGCTTCCCAACCTGCTGACCCTTGGATGCCACATACATACTGTACACTGCTGAGTTTGGACCGGCTTATTAACGCAGCAACAGATTATTGCAACAGGATGAAACCAAATGACTTGATTTCTTAACATTCCACGTCTTTTATTTTATTTTATTTTATCTTTTAGAGGCGGAGAGGAGGAAAGGGAGAGGGAGAGAGAGAATCTTAAGCAAGCCCCATGCCCAGCGCAGAGCCCGATGCAGGGTTCGATCTCACAACCCTGAGATCATGGCTTGAGTCGAGATCGAGTCAGACGCTTAACCCACTGAGCCACCCAGGTGCCCCCTTAACATTCCACATCTTACAAATAAACAATAAAAATATATCATCTTGTCTCAGTCCATTCAGTCGGCTACAACAAAATACCACAGACTGGGTGGCTTATAAATAACAGAAATTCGTTTCTCACTGTTCTGGAGACTAGAAGTCCAAGATCAAGGCAGAGCCAGAGTCTGGCGAGAGCCCGATTCTTCGGTCCTCACGTGGCAGAAGGGCAGGGGTCGCCCTCTGGGGTCTCCTGTATAAGGCACTGATCCCATTCACAAAGGCTCCACCCCATGACCTAAGCACCTCCTCAAGGCCCCATCCTAGTACCATCACCCGGGAGGTTAGGTTTCAACCTATGAATTTGTGGGGGGACACAGACATTCAACCTATAGCAATCTTCAGGCATGCTTGGACTACTTCACTACTACAATACTTGCTGGCCTACTTCATGTTAACTTCTCTTGTCCGAGTGTCAATGAGACTTCTTGGCCCATCGGAATCTTGCCCGTTTGAACAGACGACGGTGACTGTCATCTTGCTGCCTGACGCATTCCAGGCCCGTGTGGGAGGCCCCTTGGCCTTTAGTGCGGCTCTTGGCACCTCTGAACGCCTCTTGGTTTTGTCGCAGTAGCAAGATTCCCCACGTCTGCCCCATGCCACGGAAGCAGGGGCCAACGCACATGAATACTTGTGGCTCTGTGGGCCCGAGGTCCCAGACACTGTGGCCCAAGGGTGTCTGTCTGTGGCCCACAGGATGTACATTCTTAACCCTGCTCCAAGATCTGAGAGCCCACGTCGGGTGCTGGGTGGACAGGTGGAGCAGCTCTAGGCCCCCTCCTGGCAGGCATGGAGGCAGAAGCATTTCATCTGAAGGCCCTGAGCACCTTCTCTCAGCTTAGCCCACGGTACGGGTATGCCCTACTTCCTCCGGTCTGTGGCTCTCTCGCTCGAATGTTTCCCCGCAGGGATTCCCTAAGCACAGGTTTAGGACTTCCTCTGTAGAACTGACAGTCCTGTACCTGGTGGGCACGTCTCTGGCGCGTTGGGTGTATGTCTGCCCCCCTCACAGCCGCTGCGTGGCTCTCAGCATCTTGCTCAGCTCTGTCCGGCCCAGGGGCTTCCCTCCCACCTGGCTCCCAACGGAGCTCCTGGGCGAGCTGGAGACCTTGGCCCGGGAGGCTGAGTCCAGGCAGGAGCGAGCACAGCGGTGCTGCAGGAGAGATGGAGTGTGCCGGACTTGGGGCGGCCGCAGCACCAACGCACCAACAGCACCCCCTGCCCCCCGAGCTGCGGGCTGGGGCAGCGACGGCTTGCCCGCCCCGAAGCACAGGTGCACGGCAAGCTCAGTTCTGGAAGGTTTTCGTCTGTGCCAGCTCGTCTTTGACACCAGGCTTTCCCATGAAGTTATAGCTAGTTGAGTATCAAGCGTTTCTAAAGAACCCCCTGAAGGAATGTTTTTTCTTTGTGCAAACAGTCCTTTTGTGCAGAGGGTGTTCTGTGGCTTCTTGGCACAGACGCAGGTGGGTAACACCTGATTGAACATCACTCACTCAGGAGCGTGAAGACACGCACTGCACGTCAGCACAAAGCCACCCTGCCGGGCGAGCACAGCGAGGTTCCCCCTTCCTCAGCTAATCCTCAGTGTCTGAGTGCCTCGTCCAGCTCCCCAGGCTCGCCCCCTGCCACACGCGGAGGCTGCTTTGTGTATTTCCCAAGCCCATGGCTGTCCGACGTTGTCCCACCGCTGAAAGTCAGAGAGCACAGGCAAAGGTGGTGAATTCTCAATGTCCGGGGACCGCATCGGCCTGGTCGCGGCCTGGTCTGCCACGAGCCTCCTGCTTGTCCGAGAGGGACCCCGGCCCGCAGTGGGTGCTGGGTAAGCGCTGTCCACCTGCCCACGTGCCGGGTGGGCATGACTGTGGGACCGGCCTTGCAGGGTTACCATGGGTCTGGAAGAGGATCAGCAGAAGGCTCCTGAGGCAGGCACACGCTGGGCCACTCACTTGCCTGGGCTGGCTGGTCAGGATGGCACAGCCGCTTGCCCTTCAGGGGAGGTGGCCTGGAGGTGGGCCCTGCCGCAGCCCTGTCTGTCCTGCTGATGAGAGGCACCCTTCGCCCCGGAGGTGGTGACCGGGGATGCTTTTGTCTCCCCGGTAGAACATCCAGATCCCACCCAGGGCGATGAAGTCACCACACAGAATACCCCAAGGCCACTCCTGCTGGCTGTGAAGAGGCTGGGCAGCCTCCAGGAGCTAAGGCTCTGGATTCTGCTAACAACCAGGAGGACTGGAAGAGGTGCCCACCCCACTGACACCTAACTACAGCCTGTGAGGCTCCAACCAGAGGCCCTGGCCACACCGCGCCCGCGCTCCTAACCCATGGAAGCTCTTCTAATAGGACAGAACAGCAGAACATATTGACCAGAGCCAGAACTGCACGCTGATTCCATCGCTAGTCCGGGAGAGTTTTCTCTGGTTGTGAGCAGCCTCTCTTAAGAGAGTATTAATGAAGACTTCTTCGAGAGACTGGTGAGCCTCTCTCGGTGGATGGGCTGGACCAGAAAGCGGCTTGCTGAGGGGGAGGACGCCTGAGGACACCTGATGAGCGACGCTTGGCCAGCGGAACCCCCCTCACTCACCTGGGGAACCTCGGGTCTCCCGCCCCCTGGGCACCTGAGCCACAGCCTTCCTCGTCGTCCTGGGTAATACTGATGTCAGAATCACCACGGTTTGGCCATTGTGGACTGTGCTAAATTCAAGTGGCTCCTGAATGAAACGGCACTTGGGTATAAGTCCTGAAAAACGTTGCTCAGTGAACAGCGTTAGGTAGCTGGGAAAGGCACTTAGGAACTGGGCAGAAAATCACAGGGCTGATTTCGCCAAGCCACCCGGCTGCCACGGCCAGATGTGGCTGGGTGTGCGGAGGAGGGCTGGGCCGGGGAGGGTCTTGCTGAAAGCATCTGACATGAAGGCACATGGGCATGCGGCCTGAGATGCTTGGACGCTGTCTCCCTACCCCAGTTCCTCAGGGTCCATCCAGGCTCCTCTCCATGGCTGGTGGGACTACACCGTATGGATGCACCACACAGTTTGCTTCTCTGTCCATTCATCTGTCAACACATTTGGGTTGTTTCTAGTTTGGCACTATTATGAATAAAGCCACTATGAGCACCCATGCAAAGGAAAAAAAGGCATTCCCAGAACATTCAGGGCCCTAAGTTAACATCAAAGGGACTGACCATGAGAGCGCATGCATCCTTCTGGTGAAGGGCAAACTTGGATCCACACAGAGGCTCCTCCTTGTAGAGCACCCGCTTGTCCTGTGGGAGAGCCGCAGGGATGCACTGTGGCCACTCTGCAGCCTACCGGAGGATGCTCAGGGAGATCAGCTTGAGCCCTTCCAGCAAGGGGATCTCACAGCTGTTGGAAGATGGCAGTGCCCCTGTACACCTGAGTCCCGTGGCACAGCCAGCCCCCCAATACTGGGTCAGGTCTGAGGAACGACTCAGCCCTAGGAATATGACAAGGACCATCTGAGGCTTTGCAAACATGAAGTATCCCCCCCAGGCTGGGTGTTGGAGCGGGGCCCAGGTGTACAGGGGAGTTTGAGACTGGTCAGGTCTGTGGTGATTTGCTAATGCCCCAGATCCTGTGGATGCAGAGGCCGTGTTGTACCAAACTGTGGGCCCCACAGGGGGCACAGAGGAGGGCCCCACTGGTTCAGACACCAGTGTTTCCAGTAGAGTTGGTACCACTGGGGTTCCAGGTGGCTCAGCTGAGTGGACAAAAGTCCTGGCCACCAGTCTTCCCACACAACATCCATAAGGCCTGGGTGAACTTGGCAACTGCTTGCCTTATCCACATGGCCCCATCAGGCACACAGGACTAGCAGGGCTCTGACAGACGAATTTGGCCCTCGTACACCAAGATTCAGCCACAAGATGTCCCTGGGACCCTGCTCACCAGCACGTGACCTCTGTAAGGGGTCAGTTGCCTGTGATCTTCTATGCACCTCTGCTCATGCCTTTACAGGAGAGTGAGGCCCATGTATGGACTCTGGGTCCGCGTCTGCCAACACCTCTACCATCTCCAGGGGTAAGGCACTGGCAGCCGACACACACAGCTCACCTCAGACATTCTGGAAGCATCTCTGGGTTTAATAAACCTCATGCTGACTTGCAGTACCCTGTCCCTTTGTCTGGAACGCACACGTCTATGGCTGTTTTTGTAAATACGGTGGTTCTACTGAAGGAAGGAGTCACCAAGAATCTTGGTGACACAGGCATATACAGCTGTGTTCTAGGAGAACACCCTCAGCATGTGGCCTCTTGTGGGAGCCATGCAAGGCGGTGGCTTGGTGAGGCCACTCTCCATTGTCTCTGACCTGACAGCCTCCCTGTGAGGAGTACCCCGAGTGTGGTTTACTTGGCAGTTTTCCTCACATCTATGAGGTTCGAGTGCCTGCAGCCCAAACAGAGCCTCTCCTTCTGATATTCATCATGTGGAAATCCTTCTGGATGCGTCCCCCATCTAGTGACGTGGCTACGGGATACTCGGGGGCCAGCGTGGTCCCTCCCAGAGGTGTTAGAGGACACTTGCCAGCCCCTCTGTCCAACAGGGCCCATATGGGTAGGCCAGTCCCCAGGATGGGCCTTCCATGAGCTCCAATGGTATCCAGTCCCTTAGGGAGTGGCCATAGGTCCCTGGGGAGGCTGGGCAGAAGGCCAGCAGTATACATTGTTGGCAGTGTAGTGGGGTCTTTCCTTAAGGGGCCTGGGGCGCTGACTGGAGGTTTGTGAATCTATTTCGGTGGCCCGGGTCAGACATCTGTCTGCTCGATCCAGAATGCTTCCGCTCAAGCAGACCAAGCTAGACTCAATCTGGCTGCCTGTCAGCTCCACTTCCAGGGCCCCAAGGGCACCATGCCCACATCTCTGCCAGTCTGGCTGCTGGTGGCTGAGGCTGCCCACCACACAACCACACAGTGGACAGTTAAATGTCACTACTAGGCTTTGCCACTCTTGAGATTCAGTGACTCCGCTGCCTTTAGAGAACCTTGCTCTGTGGGGGTGGCTCCAACTGACGTGCAGAGAAGAGAAACCACAGAGCTCTCCAAGGATGCTCGGCTCCCCTTGTGGACGTATTCCTCAAGGTCTTGGGAAAAGGCTCGGCCCCTCTTATGGAGGGTAAGCAGCTCTCATGTGTTAAGTCCCCTCGAGTACCCCAATCTCCCCAAACCCTCGGGTCACCCCCTCTGCAGTACACTGAGGGGGTTCTGGCATTTCAACCGTACTCAGCAAACCTGCCTTGTGGTCCATGTTTCAACCAAGCAACCGCACCTGGGGGCCCTTTCTAACTCCTCGGGCTGCAACAAGTCCAGACCCTCTGTTAGTGGCCCTGTTTCCATGGATCTGGCCTGATGCATTTCATATTCCTGCCACCTGGATCCCACACGTGTTCTCCAGATTTCTATCTGCACGAAGTTCTTCTGGAGCGTAGCCACCTCATCATGGGCCACACTTTGTACCTCACCCTTTGGGGCCTCCTAGGGCCTGAGTCTAGTTATAAACAAAGCTGGGGTTGGGGGGAGGTGGTCCTGAGTGTCCCACAAGGACCCTGCCCCAGGGGGGGAGCCATTCCGGATCCTTCAAGTAAAGGAGGACTGACCTCTTCAGGCAGAGACCGAAGGGGCTCTTCTGGCAAAAAATGGCAGTGGAACAAAGGGGCTTGAGGCCCCCAGCTTGCACAATGACTGCCCACAGCCCCCACCCCAATTTCCAGGGTCCCATTCCTTCCCAGTCAACAGCCCAGCTTTAAAAGATGCCCTGACGGCTGGGCCCAGCCATGCATGGAAGGAGACTCCAGACACACTCGTTGCTTTGGCTGCTCATTCCCAGTTGCCCTGTGTGCACACTGTTGGCTCTGTGCTGTTGGTGGCTGTGTCAGCTACACTTAATTCTGCTATGCTTTCCACCCCGAAGATGGCACCTTGCCGTCTTTGGTCTTCCTCTCTTTGGGGCACTTCCTCCCATGGATTCAGGGCGCTTGGCCTGGTCCCGAACCATGAGCTCTCCTTGCCTTTGCCGTCATCCACAGCCCGCCCTTCTCCTGCCTTGCTCCCTTGAGGGGTCTGCTCACTTCTTTATACGGGTTCTGGCTTCAGCCCTGAGCATCAGGAGCTCCTGGTCATCCTTGGGGTGAGGAGCCACACAGAGGCAGCAGGACCTGGGGGCCACATCTGGTGTCCCCCACTGGACAGGGGTCAACTGCCCTGCCCAGTGGAAGGTCTGAGGAGAGCTCTCGGAGCTGACCCTAACGGGGAATCCAGGGTATCACCTCGGAGAATCTCTACCTTGAGCCCACGGGTTTGCATCTAGAGGTTTATTGTAAAGGAGCCCCAGGTTGGCCTCTCACTTGGGCTGTAGCTGCTCAGGTGTCTGGCCCAGTTACTCTTTGTGAACTGCAGAGTCACTGTCATACAGATGCTGTATTTCGCAAAAGGAAACACAAGCCTTGTGCAGAAAACGAAGACTCCATGGACCAAGCTCCTCTTGTAACTGGAGGAGGAGAACCACAACTGGCTGTCCTCAAGGGTCCCGATGCACGGTTTCCACATGCCTCGGTCAGGCCAAAGCCTGGGTGCCCACCTCCCTGCCCTCTGCGTGTCCCAACGAGGGAGTGGATGCATCGCTGCGGATCGGGTAGAGCGACCAGATGCTAATGCGCTGATCCCCAGACCCTGCGGCCAGCAAGCCATCAGTGGCAAAGGCCACAGAGTGGATGGTGGCACTGTGGAAGGACAGCACGGCCAGTGGCTTCATTGTCCACCAGTGAAACACACGGACACGATGGTCCCAGCCCGCAGTGGCCAGGATCTTGCGGTCTGGCCGGATCTTGACATCAGCGATCCCAGGATTGGTGAGTTCGTGAGTTCTGCACACCTATAAGATCAAGAGAACCATGAGGTGGCTTCTTAGACCCGTCCCAGGGGCTCCCACCCCTGGACAGCCCCAGTCTGGCAGCCAGAACAAGATGGGAAATGTTGGCCGCCAAGACGGTTGTATGCTCCTGCAAACTCTACCCCCTACCTCCCAGGAGCCAGGCACAGAGCTGCTGAGGGGAGCAGCCTGACCGCTGCCCTTGGCCGAGCCCTTGGGTTATAACAGAAGACTTAGGCCCCTCTCTCAGAGAGCCTCTGAGGTCCCGCAGAGCTGCTCCCCTACACAAGGTCTGGGAGCAACTCAGGGGCTGCTCTGTTTCTCTGCCTATCAGGCCCTCAGGAAAGACCTCAGTGGGCTGGGTCCTGGGGCCCCTCACCATGGAAATACACTGCACTCTAGCATCCACGCAAGATGCATCTCCAGCTTGATAGCAGCATAAAGTCTGCATGTTTCCCCTTCTGGGGAAACCTCACACCCACCCACAGCATGAGGAGGATGAGAGATGCGAAGTCCATCTTCAACGAGAGGGTTGAAGGGCCACCAAGTGGGGGGGGGCAGTGGGTGCAGGCACGACCAGTGGGGGACAACACCGAAGGTGCAACCTGCAGGAGCACCTGCAGAGCCTGCCACACTGGCCATGGCCGAAACCTTAGTCCCTAGCTTGGTTCTGGGAGAAGGGCAGGCAAAACAAAACAAGGAGTTGCACAGGTGTGTTCTATCTGCATGGAGACACTGGCAGCCAACCTCTTTCTGGAGGCAGAGCACTCCCACAGTCAGTGCTGGGTGATGACCCCTCACCAACACATGCCTCCTGCAGCAGGTAAGGAATCAGAGCTGTCTTTGTGGTCACAGCTATTCATGGTTACACGGCACTGTCTCATGCATTGCAATCTGGCATCTCTGTCCCCACACACTAAATGACAAAGGCACTTTGTCATTTGCCATCATTGTGACAATACACAGTAGCCACTTCCTTCTACTGATCCTGTGTTTGGCTTAGGCCTGTGCACCATGAGCTCTTATTGCCCTGAAGTTGCCTTTGCTGTCCCTTACCAGCACACCCTTTTCTCCTAATTCACTTCCTAATGGCGCCATGGTAGTCTTGGTTAATAATCACTCATTTCTGCTAAGATAACACAAGGGAAAAGGAAGAAACACAGAAAGGCCAACATTCCTTGGAAGCAAACAGAAATTGTCCCCAAGGATTTTTTGCCATAATTTAATAAAACAAAACTCATGAAGCAGTTTCCTCTATAAAACAAGAACCTGAAGTAGCAAAACACAGAGGAGGAGAACTGAACTGACAGAGCACAGGAAAGAAAAGGAAGGAAGACCTCAAAGAAATGGAGGGGAATGGGAAATGGCAGAAGGAGACTGGAACAAGACAGTAAGAGCAGGAATGATACAAAGTGAGCGAAGTGAAAGGGAAACAAAGAGTTACAATGGATTGGAGAGAAAACAGCAGACATGGAAGACAGGCAGAGGTGCTCTAACATTCAGTGATTTAGAAAATCAATTTTAATTTTTAGAAAAATTGAAGCCTTATGATCCAGATCCAAAGACAGGGTATAGGATGGTCAACGTTAAGGTACACCTTAGGAAAATCACTGGACTTAACAGCTTAAAAAGTCCTTTTGGTGGTCAGGCAAAAAGATCATGTCAATTGTGAGGTAAGTTAGGCTGTCCTCAAAATGTTCCACAGCCACATCTGTGTCAGCAGACAGTAGAGGCGAAGAAAGACATGGTCCAAGCATTTTATATCCAGCCAAACTGCTGCTCAAGTATAAAAACAATAGACAAGCATTTTTGAACATGTAAGAACTTAAAGAATTTGCTCCCATAAGCTCTTCTTGAAGGACTGGAAGATTAACTCCAGTCTCATAAGAGATAACCAGGGAACTTTAGCAGATCATCTGGCAGAAAGCAAGGAATCTACTTACCAGTAGGATTAGACCTAAAACAATACATGGATTATGGCTCTAGAACCAGTTATGTAACTAACTGAAATATGGGGGGATAGTGAGAGAGATAGGATGTTTGTTAAATTCACTGATTTGCTCATCTTTTGTCATTTCGGGCCCAAGATACAATAGCCAACCTCATACCTGAGAGATTATCTGACAATCCACTGTAAGTAATGACAAAAACAACATGACTTCCTTCCCCGTCCCTGACACTAGGTGCCATGTTTTCCTAGTATTTGCTCTTGTATTTCTCCATAAAAATATCCTCAACAGATTTAAAATTAGGTTCCAAAGTTAAATCCAAATCTGTGCTATGTGTAAGAGAGACACTGAAAGAATGATTGGCAAAGATATACCAGGAGAGTGTAGACAAGAGAAACAGGGGTCCAGTGTCAGTAATAGGAAACACTGAATTCAGAGGAAAAAGCATGAAGACAGACTATGTACCATACTTAGCAATGATAAAGGGTACAATTCGCAATGAAGAGCTATGACTGTCTGTTCTAGAGATAAATGGGTGTGTCATTCACGAAGCGAGAACAATAGGACTGTGGCTATGATGGAGTAACTGGTACCAGACCAGTCCTCATGCTATAAACAACCATCAAACTGGACAAAAGATACCAAGCAACCATGTCTGGGCAGGCAGTGGACAACAGGTGGGGAGGGGCAGCTGATGAGGGGAGCCTCCCAAACACTCTGGCAGCAATCTGCCCAGGGAAATGTCCCAGCCACGAAATCTAGGTGGTGCCTAGAGGCCACATGAAGCTGAGGAGGCAGAGATCAGAGCGTGGGGGCAGCTAGGGCAGCTGCATCTGTGGGGTGAGCGAGCAGCATGGAGGTTAACTGGGGGAGGGCCTGAAGGCCGCGTCTGGGCTCCCCATCAGTCCTTGTGTGAGGGCTGGGCTGTGCATGCTCAGGACACCACATGAGGTTTACCAGACAGTGACTATAGCAGGGTTAGATGGAACAGATAGGGGAGATCAACCATGATCTGGGGTCCAGCCAGCCCAAACACAAACACCACCTGACAACCCAACACCAGGTGAGATGTCACAATGGTCTTGCAAGGAATAAGGATCACACCTGCGGATAGGGCCTACCCTGGACCTACTGCAACAATGCTAGAGATGGAGCTCTACATGGTCTGAAGGAGAGGCAGAGTTCAGAAGGTGAGTTCTACCACATTAGATGAGCCTGGGAAGGACCCTGGGCTTTCCACGTATCTGCCCTGACAGAGCATAAAGCCAAGCCTCCACAAGTTCAAGGTGAACAGCCAGTAACTGAACTAACTGCCTGCAAGAACAAAAGTAAATATTCTTCAGAGCAAAAGATTAGAATTCTCAGTCTCCATCACGTATCACTTAAAATGTTGAGCACACAAACAAAAAAATTATTAGACATGCAAAGAAGCAGGAATATAGGATCCATAGTCAACTGGGAAAAAAGCAGTAAACAGAAACTGGCCCAGAATGGCACAGATGTTGAACATATCAGACAAAAACTTTAAAGCAGCTATTTAAGTATGCTCAAAAAAAAAATGAAAGAAAACGCATTCAAATAATTATAAAAAACAACTTCCCTGATGAGTGAACAGACAGGAATTACTAGCAGAAAAATGGAGATTATAAAAAAGAACCAACCCAGAACAGCCAACATATTATGTTAGAGGAGAAGAACAAAGTCCAAGGCCTGATGCCACCTGACTTCAGGACCTACTATGAAACTATAGTGGTCAAGACAGTATGGTATTGATGAAAGAAGAGACAGATCAAAGAAACAGCATAGATAGCCCAGAAATAGACCCACATAAATAGAGGCAACTCATCTTTGACAAAGGAGCAAAGGAAACATAACGAAGGAAAAGATACTCTTTTTATCAAGCAGTGCTGGAAAAATTGGACATCCACGTGCAAAAATATGAATCTAGACAAAGACCTCACACCTCTAATTCACAAAAATAACTCAAAATGAATCACAGACCTGAATATAAAACACAACACTATAAAAATCATAAAAAGATAACACCAGACAAAAACCTAGATGACTCTGGGCTTGGCAATGGCATTTAATTTAGTTTTTTTAAGTTTTTTTTAAAGATTTTATTTACTTTTGTGAGAGAGATCATACATGTGAGCAGGAGCAGTGGGAGGGGCAGAGGGAGAAGCAGACTCCCCACTGAGCAGGGAGCCTGATGCAGGACTCGATCCCAGGACCCTGGGGTCATGACCTGAGCTGAAGGCAGATGCTTAACTGACTGAGCCACTTAAGTGCCCAGCAATGACATTTCAGACACAACACCAAAGGCACGATCCATGAAAGAAAGAATTGATAAGCTAAACTTCACTAAAATTAAAATTTTCTGCTCTGTGAAAGACACTGGCAAGAGAATGAAAAGACAAGCCACAGAACAGGAGAAAATATTTGCAGAAGACACATCTGGTAAAGGACTATTAACCAAAATGTACAAAGAACTCTTAAAACTCAAGAGTAAGAAAACAAATGACCTCATTAAAAAATGAGCAAAAGACCTTAACACACACTTGACCAAAGAAGATCAACACACGGCAGGTAAGCACATGAAAAGTGCTTCTGTCATATGTTATCAGGGAAATGCAAATTAGAACAATACTAAGATAATACTATATGTCAACTATACTTCAATAATAATAATAAAGAAAAAAACAGATACCCACTATACACTTGTTAGAATGGCCAAAGTCCAGAACACTGATAATACCAAATGCTGGCAAGGATGTGGAGCCACAGGAACTCTATTCACTGCTGGCGGGAATGCAACACCCTATAGCCACTTTGGAAGACAGCCTGGTGGTATCTTAACAAAACTAAACATACTCTTGCCATGTGTTCTAGAAATTGCATGCTTTGGTATTTACCCAAAGGAGATGAAAATTTCTATCTATACAAAAAACTGTGGGGTGCCTGGATGGCTCAGTCAGTTAAGCATCTGACCCTTGCTTTCAGCTCAGTTCATGATCTCAAGCCCCACGTCAGTCTCTGTGCTGGGTGTGGAAC